GTTGCTGGCATCATATTTTTTTGTGGATGATATGGTTGAAGTTGATTAACATCACGATAATAATCTTGACGTTGTTGATACATAGGATTTGTAGAAGATGGTGATCCAACAATCTAAATTAATTGTTTATATTATTTTAAATTAAAAAATTAGTTTTTATAATAAATAATTTTACTTTTGTATTTGGATTCCAAGTATTGGATTGCGTTGGTGGTTGACCTTGATACACTCCACCATCTAGTGGAAATGATGAAGATGTTGTTGCAGTAATTGGATGAGGTTGAGATATATGTGATGGTAATGGTATTGAACTATTTGGAAGATAGTTTGATGATATTGGTAAACGACCATTTGGTGGACTGATATTAATATGATTGCTTGGAAGTAATTTTGCATCAATTTGTCGATCAATATCTAATGGGATGAATGGTTGTGGTTTTTCTTCACCTAATGAAGAAAAAAAAAAAGAAGAATTTTTTCTTTTTTTTATTGTTCACAAGTATTGTTCGATTTTATAACCTGGCTGACGAAAATCAGGTGCAGCTGCTTTAGCAGATACTCGAGCTTCAACACTATCGTTTCGAGCTTGTTTTGCATAAATCTCAGCTGAATGAGCTTTTGAACGAGCATTATTTGCTCTAAAATAATAATCATTGTTTTTTTCTAATATTAGATAACATCAATTTTTGTTATTGTTAAACTTTTACCTAGCCATGGCAATTTCTGCCTTTTGTTGTGCTGTTGTTGCACTTTTCATTGCATGATTTAGAGCAGCATCAATTTTATCACGAAATTTAGATGAACGAAGTAAAAATAATTTACTTGGTTTACGTTTATCGTTTACCAAAACATTATTTTTATATTTGCCCTCCTCCTTGCTACCATCTCGATATGTTGTTACCCCATAACCATTCTTCTTATTATTAAACCATTCACCTTCATATTTTAAACCATCGGAACGTTCAGCTATACCAAATCCAGTACGTTTATCAGCTTTCCATTCACCCATATATGTTTCAACCACATTATTATCAAGGATATCCTCTTGTGATATAAATGAATGATCACCATCATCTAATGTAGCAAATGAATTGGGTGTATTCGGATGTGATGATATTATTGTAGCTGTTTTAACTGAATGCTTTGAATCACCACTAACTGAACTTGCTGTTGAGCGAAATGAACTTGTTTTTTTTGTTAGCGATAAATCTTCAATATCACTAGTGGATTTTTGTTTACGTAATTTTGATAGGAGAGTTTTACGTAATGATGTACGACGATCAGCACTATTTGATAATGAACCACGACGTGGTCCTTGACTAGCACTACGAGATGATGCATCATGAGGTTCTGATCTTGAACGTAATACAAATCCACCACGATTTTCATCCATACGCTTGTCTCGTTCACCTAAATAGAAGAATTAAACGTAAGAAAAAAAGAAACTTTTTCTCTCCCCCCTCTCCCTCCTATTCTAATGAATTTCAACATGACGCAAAAACAAAGATGAAAATATACTTCAATACTCACGTTGTGTTCGTTCATCATCTTCTTCTGAACGAAGTGATGTTAAAGAGTCGCGTACATCTTTTGATCGATAACGTGATGCAACACCATATGGTACACTTCGTCGAATACCAAAACCGTGGCGCAGTCCTTGTTGTATCTGACCATGATAAATACCACCATCTGCATATATTTCAACTCCATATCCATCTTGAAGGCCATTTGCCCATGTACCTTCATATCTAGCGCCTGAAACATCCGATACACGTATACCATATCGTCCTTTAAAACCTTGTGTCCATTCGCCTTTATAAATCCATCTCCCTTTTTTCTCAACACCCAATCCATGCCGTTTTCCACTCATCCATTGTCCTTCATATGAGTTTCCTGCCGGCTATAATGATAATAATAATAATAGTAATAATATAAATATATATATATAAATATCAGTAAGTTATTTGAAAAAAAAATTAAAAAAATATAATTACCCATAAATAGATGCCCGAAAATTCATAACCAAATTGCCATGCACCAGAATATTCACCTTGACCTTTGGGACCTGTACAAACACCGTGTCCATGCGCTTTACCATCATTCCATCCCCCACAATAGGTACCGCCGTCATCAAAATCGAAGCGACCTCCATTCACTCCGACGTTCATTCGGGCGTCCGTTCAATGATGATCAACAGTGGCGGTAATAGCAGCAGCATCGACAACGACGATGAAGACGACGATGTCGATGATAGTAAAAGAAGAATATTGAAAAAGAAGAAGTGGTAGGGGGTCACACAGAATTGTTGTAATAGCAGAAGAAGAAGGAGGAGGAGGAAATGAGAAGGACGACGGTGCAACTATGATGTTGTGAAGAGTAGCAGCAAATTTGAATGTGTTGTCTTCACAAGTCGATCAATATCCAGTAAAATACGGTGATGCACAATGATGCTGGCATGTGTGCTTGGGCTAAAAATACTAAATATAAGTAAGTGAAAGAAAAAAAAAACGGAAATCGCACACAAGAAATATACAAGCACAGTATTGCCCGAAAGACAAAAAACCTCGATCAAACACCCCCCTCCTGTTGCTTGTTAGCGATATTCTGTAGTCGTGTCACACATATTGTTTTTCTTTTTTTTACCCTCGTCTACAAACATAAATGTAGACAAAAGAAAAACATGACATGAGTTTCACATACTCAATCAGAACGATAGGAATTTTCTAGTAGGAACATTGTGAGAGGAAAAAAAAACAATGAACTTCACAGATTTTCTGATCACACACGTCATTACTCATCAACTGTCAAAACAGTATTTTTTTTGCCTATTGTCATAAAATAATGCTACTAGTGTCTCAGTTTCAGCGCTTCTCTTTTTTGTCTATTCAAAAGAAACTATCTATACTTGAAATTGCATCACAATACAAGCCCGCGTGCATAGAAAAAGCTTACTCAAGACAACGATGGAGGACGATCAGGGAAAGAAAGAAAACGAGAAAGAGAAGAAGAGACTTGGTGGTCTCCGAGCTTTGTGTCGCACGCGCCTGTTTATTTATTTTTGCTTTTGGGTTGTGAGCGCATTACACACGTTGGATTCTCTCTCTGTTTTTTTCTTTTTCACAGGCAGCAGCAGGCAAAGAAGAAGCAGCTAAAGATGCAGATGAAGTAAAAGAAATAGAAGAAGAGGAAGAACAAGTAGAAGCGAGGAACGCAGGAAGAGTAATACGGAAGGAATTGTCGTCGGTCGTCGTCCTCGACTGATTGCAACGCAAGCGTGTGGCACAATAACGGGGGAACAGTGCGAGTATGTGTGTGTGTGTGTGAAAGAAGAGAAAAAAAGAGCAAAAAATAGAGGAATATTAAAAATACTAATAAATACGCCACATATATGACGAGACCGACGACGAATGACGATCTCTGGAATGCACATAAATACACAGCAATGGCAATAAGAGCAGAGAGCAGAACAACAACAACAACAATAACAACAACAGACGATGATAACGATGAGACTGTTGCTGTTGATATAGCACGGTGATAGAAATATAGCGACAACGCGTTTTCTAAAGGAAGATAGACTCTTCTTTCTCTCTCTCGCTCTCGCTCTCTCTATCTCAATCTCTTTGCTCTTCTTTAGCAGAATATATGTGGTTGGATGACAAAATAGATAACTTGGCATTCACTAAGCAGAAGAAGTACTAGTGTTTCCTTTCAACCCATTTCTCCTCTTTTCCCTCTCTTCAACACATCTTCTTTGACGCTCTTCCCGTTTCAAGTGTGCATAGACACATACCGCATTTCTTCGTGTATCTGTGTATGTATGCCGCTGACACACACATAAGAAAAGCATGACATGCTTATTCGATGTGCTACTCTCATACTCATCAATGCCATCTAGACAAGGCTTATAAATCGATCCTGCGCTCGTTTGTTCGTTCGTTTGTTCCTTCTTTAATCATACTGTTAGCGAGAGTTTCACGAACATGCAAAGAAAGAAAATTCATCTAGCATTTTTTTTCCTATCAAGCACGCTCTCTTCTTCTCCTTTCCAGTTACCTGTTCGAACTGTCTGTCTCATTGTCATATCGGTATACAAAAGAAAAAAAGAAGCATACTGATGGACAGAAAGACAATCTCTGCCTTTCTCCGCCTTTGATGTTAGCAACAGCATAGCATTGGTATCAGAAATTTTTTCCGTCTCCTTTCTATCATAAGTCAAGGTTGGACATTTGTGGTATCAAAAGAGAAAAAGAAAAAAAGACGGGCATGATAATTTGAGCAAGGACATATCATGGATCATTGATAAATGCACGATGGGTAAACTCCATTAGCAGTTACGCCAACGATATCTGTCGTCTCTCAACACAATCGTATTCAATATAATATCAAAGACGAACATTTCATATTCTTAATTATCACAAATAACAAATATGTATAGATTTGTTAGATCAATTATGAATCTTTCTGTAATCTTCTTGATAACAATAACCTTGAACATGTTTGGAATGTTCATTTTCATAAATATCTCTATGTCATATGATACTCTCTTTTTTTTTGCATATATATGCAATATAAAGAGACAATTGGGTAGAATAGTTCATGGTGGATGTATGTGTGCGACACAGCACAAGACACGGCACACATAGATGACGGCAAGAACAATCTTTGAACAAACAAAACGAAAAAAAGAAAAAAAAAGAAAGAAGAGAAAGATACATAGGATGTGCACACGTACAGTTGCTCACTTTGCGTTAAGCTTACGTTGAGAAGTTCACGATCATCATCATCACCTCCTTGTACAGATTCATCTTTATCTTTTTTTCTTCAAAAGTGCATATACTATGAAAGTTTATTCATTCTTTATTTAAATATGATATAAAAAGAAAAAACCTTTTCTTCTATACATCACAAAAATAATTCATCATATTTATACAATCTTCTTTACTATTCTGTTTATTAATTTTCACTAAAAAAAAAAAGAAGAAGAAAGAACATCTTCTATGATTCACATATTTTCAATTTGGTTATCATTATTGATAGTTCAATCAATCAATATCATCATTACAACAAGTATACGTTGTAATGAAGATATCGATGGATCTTTTCAAGTAATTGAAAATTGTCGAGCATGTGTTATTTTTATTGCTCCTACAACTTTACCTGCAACTAGTCCAACAACAACAACAACAAAAACGACAATTTTATCAAAAGAAATATTTACATCATATGCTGAACCATCATTAGAAGAATTATTTTTATTTGGTGAAGCAAAACATCATCGTTATCGTCATCGTCGTCGACGTAATGTTGATACTGTAATTCATCAACAATGTGCTCGAGAATTAGATGGTCCATTATATGGTTATGATCAAACACATTGTTATTGTAATTCTAATCAATGTAATTCAAATATTCAACGATGTATTTATGAAGTAACATCAAAACGTCATTTTGCATGTTATCATGGTTCTAATTCCAGTCTATATTCGCTTGAAATTCGTCATAAGTGTCGTAGTTGTCGTATACATATTGAATTTAATTCGATATATGATTATGAATGTTTAACCTTTGGTGAACGTGAACAAAATAATCGAACTTATTGTACATGTCAACGACCAATGTGTAATCAAGATGTATCAACATGTCAACGATTTCAACAAGCACCATCTCAACCACGATTGAACTTAGGTCTTGATACTCTTTTAAATTCAACTCTATCAACAACAACAATATACACTAACACCTCTACTACAATAATATCTATCACAACAACAACGCTACCAACTACAATAATAATAACAACGACTACTACTACTACTACTATTACAAGTAGTATTGTTATGACAACCATTGATACTACTAGTAGTACTACTGAGTCAACTCCAAGTTCAACTACTACTACTACTACTACGACTATCCCGACTACCACTACTACTCCTATAACCGCAACCTCAACGATTGTAATTACAACATTGTTCGTTACTACAACACCAATTATAACTACATTACCAGCTGTAATCGAAACTGAAGAAGAAATTTCAATTGAAAATTCTACAATAATTGAATTAACAACTACAAATGAAATAACAACATCACTTAATGAAGTACAACACCTTAAAACAGTGTATATTGAAGTCAAAAATCATGCAAATTATTTATCATCAAATTTTCTGTTAATTTGTACTTTATTTCAAACATTTTTTTTCTTTTTATTTATTCGATGCGATCACTAACTTTTATCTCTTAGACAGTATACATACATATATAAAAGCATATATCAGTAAAAGATATATTTAAATAATGAGAAAAAGCCATCTACAAGGCAAAAGTATATAAGGATGGATTTGTTCATTAGTGAACAACGAACGATTGATCCCTATGTAAGCTATGAAAACAATGTCAATAGTCGTACAGCCATTCTTAACAAACAAATAATGTCTATCGACTTGGTTCATTTATATATAGATATAGTATACTAATCTTTGGTCAATTTTGATTTGAATGATCAAATTCAAGTATGAAAAGGAAAAAGAAAGAGATTTATAATTGTTATGAGAAAGATATTTATCTTTTTGATAACAATAGTAATTACTGTTTCATTAATAACTTACCAATGATAGAATATGAATACTTTTAAGATTAATAAAAGAATAATCAATGAAATGCATATAATTAAATTTTTTTTTTAATATCATAGGAGTGCCTTAAGGATATCATTAATTTCAACAATAAACTTTTTCTTGCTATGAGAATAATCTTTATTGTAACCGAGAGCATCATAATGAATAGACTATCTTCATGATATTAAAAAGTATAAAAAATAATGCTATATTTAGAAATAGAGTATTATTATGTTATCTATGATGGAGTCTTAGAACATTATCAACATAATAACATACTAGAAAATCATTTTACTTAAACGAAAAATATTGTTCTCCTTTTTTTTTTTTTTTGTTTTTTACAAAGTGGGTTAGTTAAAGAAAGTCTGAAAAAGTTCTTTAATTTACTTTGCATGAATTATTTTGTTTATAAATAAAATATATTTTTTATTCTTTGGTTCAATCCGTCATTTCTATCTAGCTTACAGTTTAATCAAACATTTGATCACATTTATTTAGTCTAAACTCTTTTATATATATATATGTTTAAACTTACGTTTCATTAATAAACAATCAATAAATAAGAAACTTATGTATGCATGTATGTAGAGCAATCACTTGATAAGCTTACTTAGCATGAGTTATTTCTCTAGTTTAATCGAACAAACTGAGATTTAAGTTTAAATTCTCGTGATTGTATATGTGGGCATAGTCTACTTTTTTTACATTTTTCTATGAATAATGTCACGTCAGCACATATTACATATTAGCACATCCGCCAACCCTTTTTTTTTTTTTTATTGTCAGCAACATCATGTTATATAATAATTGTTTTGGAACTCTATTCTTTTTTTCTTTGACATTTTTGCATGCATTAAATTTTTTCTATGATTAGCCTTTGAACATTATGCAAATTAGTTTTTTTTTCTTTCTTACTATTTATTCTTTCATAAATATATCATATAAATGTTGAAAAGGAAAATATAATTATTATGATATTATTTGGTTTAGCTAGAAAATATCGATGACAGTTTTCTGATGTTATATGACATGCCTAATGTAATACATTAGCATCATTTGATGTGTTTGTTTCAAGGAATGCTTGAATTTTTTTTTTTAGGGATCCTATGTAACTCTATGAAAATCAAATAATTTATCAAGTTTCATTTGTTTTATCATAATTGACAAATTATATGTATTTGTATATTTTTTATATTTGAAAATAAATTTACCTGATATATTCAAAAAAAAAACACATAGCAATAATATTAGTCAAATAAATAAAAAATATTAAAAAGTTACATTAATTTCTAGATTATTCTATAGAATCAATAACAAAACAAATATATATATATATATCAGTGTGTACTTGAATCTTTTGTAAGTACGTAATGAATATCTGAATGAATGTAGCTTGATAACAACAATTTAAAAATTAATTAAAATTTTGTTTAAACTTTCAAGACATAACTCATTGTATATAAGTACGAAATAAGTATGAAGATATTATTTCAAATATACTATGAACTGACTGTTTTTTTTAATGTATCTATTAAATGAAAAATTACACATAGAAACTGAATTAAAAAATAGTTGAATCTATATCTGTTTGATAGCATGAATATATTGCTAAATCTAGAAAAAAAGTTTTTCAATACAATCCTTGACACATGAATATGTTTTATAATTCTGAATTCATGAAGTTCATGAGACTCCATTTAATTTTAAATAGTAAGTAATTTTGATACAGTTTGACTCGTAATTTTTTGCTTTTTCAAAAGGATAGATTTCAATTGCATGGAATTTAAGTAGTGTTACTATAGCAAATTCATAAAATAGCTATAGAACTGACTTTACTTGACTGATACCAAAAAAAATTGTTGGAGATTAATTTTTCTCTTTTTGTAAATTTCTGCAAAAGACACGAACATCATATTTAAACTTAAACATTTGATTTGTTCATATAACTCTACTGATAAATGAAATATTGTGTGTTACTGTCTAGTAGATTCAATCAGATGTCTTGTTAATACTAGATAAACCTTTTTACAATAGATAGAAAATTATCATTGCATTGATGTCGCGATGACATTAAATGAAATAACAGAATAATGATAAACATGCTAAATCATGAAATAAATGTCTTGTTGCAAGTAGAAAAAAAAATACATAAAGTATCTACAAAGAAAGAAATAATATTGACAATGAAAAGTATTCTAATTTGGACTCATTTCATTTATTTCAAGTTCAAATATTTCTTGTTTTTCAACACTGCTAAAATAACTACATTCTACCTCGATAGATAATCAAATTCAAATAAATGTTGCTTAATTAAATAAATGTCAATTTTTTTTTTCTGTTGAATTTTGATCTTATTTTATTGCATTAATATTTTTGCTTCATGACAATGTCAGCATAGACATGAACGTTTATTAAAACTAATTCAATTCAATTTTTTTTTCAACATTTAGTATTTGTCCAATAAAGTTTTGTAGAAACAAATATTGATATATATTCTCATCAATATTAACGTTACTGTGCGATGACACCAAAATATAAATATCATATATTCATATACAAATCTGTGAAAGAAAAAAAATCTCGAATGATATACATCTATGGATAATGTAAAAAAAAATATTGTTATGAATGATGTGTAATAACGAGTCAAGAGTAACAGTATGAAAATTACTCTGGCGAGTAAGTTGCTCTGAAGATTTCTCTTGCATGTAAGCAAACATTTAATTGAATAGTTACTCGAAATAACTTCTAAGATCTTTATAAAGTCTATGTATTAGTAGCAAACAATCAACGAATATATACTAATTGAAATCATATTTTAGAAGAATGTAATATTTTCCTCTTTAATTATAAAATATACATGTAATTGTAATCAACTTAAGTGAAAGAAAAAGTTTTTCGTGCCACACTGAAATTAATAAATATAGAATATCTCACACGCCATTGTTTTATTTCCTTATTAAAAAAAGAAACTAAGCGAATTTGTAGTATACATGAATAGATAAACACTCAAAAGAATTCTTTCGACTTTTTCGATTATTTAGAAACATATTACCGTGGATTTTCTTCATTAAAACTTATTTTCTATTGAGTAGTCTTTTGAAACTTTTTTTTGTTTTTTTATAGATGGACGTTTTTTTTTAGACAATATTATAATGTTACAATTTCTAAATAATTTTATACATTGTATGTCGATCTATTTTATTCTATGAGATATAATCAAATCTATACGTTATAAGAGATTGGGTAAAAAATATTGGAAACAGACTGTTTCACTTATCAATGTTTTTCCTCTCTAAATCTTTGAAAGCCGGACCTATACATGTATGGTTTCGAAATTTGATTCAGTGAAGAAATCCTTAGATACACTAAAATTGATTTTTTTTGAATATTCATGTTATACATATAGAAGTTATAGAGTAGTCTAGATAGAGTATACATCTATTAAGCTCAGTATTGTTCGTCATTCTTCATCACATATTTGCTTTATAAAGCCAATGTTGGAAAAAAACTTATAGTGTTCAAAAATCTACAATAAGTTGTCCATCATTGATTTATCAGTCAACTGAACTTACTACTAGACACTTTTCATCTCTTGCGTTTCACACAAGAAATAGAATCACTCTTCAGAAAATTTATGTTTTATGTGCACGCCCACTAGTCAATGAAAGACGACTGATCCATACTATATAATTAGGGAAAGATTATAATCTAGGTCTTGATATTGTTAGTTGTTTCAATGAATTTCATACTTAATAGCATTTTTCGCTTTATAAGTTAACTTTCCTTCTCATATGTTATTTAATTATTACTTGTTATATGTACCTCTTGAATGTATATTTTGTTTCTGTTATTTCTAAATAAACATCGTATATCTTTAGTATAAAGTCTGAATGAAACAGTTATGAATGATAATTTTCAACTATAATTGATTTTGTAGACGGAAATTCAACTTTTTCCTCGTAAAAACATGTCGATCCTCAAAGGGTTCAATTTAATATTCAAGTTATAATTTTTGGAATTTTAGTTGTTACTAATGATAGACTATATGAAATAACCATATTCTTGTGTGTTGACGTAATATTTTAGGTCATGAATCATGATTTAGTGCTATATGGAATCAGATTAAACCTACATATGAGTGTCCTATTTCACTAATTGTTTTTACTTTGGTCTTCTTCATCTTAATAATCACACTTGATTAGTATTTCTCTAATGAAACTTAGTACATGTATATTTTCTTTCTTGAAATATTATAAATAATGATACTCTTTTTTTATTAATTCTAATATGTATATTTTTTTGGTAAAAAAAGAAAAAAGAAACAATTTAATTTGTTAAAGTACTTTCGTCTTTTTATATCTTGTTGTACATGATAACAACAAGTCTCAATATATTCTTATAGTTTGACGAAATCTTTGATTTTTCGTTCTGATGATGTCGCCAGATCAAATGAATGATTTGTCGCATAGGTATGATTACTTTCTGATGGTTGTTCATGGACAACGTAAAAGATAAGAACAAGATTAATGTCTTCTATATATCCTCATGTTGTCTAAATAACGCACACTGACAAATATAATACAAACACAATCATGGCAAAATCTTCTAAATTAGAAGATTATTGGAGAAAAAATAATATTGAAAGTTTGTTCAAAGAATTGACACATAATCTTGTACAACGAATGCCATCTGATCCAGTGGTTGCTATTGTGCAATATCTTCAAATGAAATATCCAAAATCATTCAAAACATCTGCAGACAATAATAATAATAATAATGCTGATATCATTTCAAAAACTGCGCTAACTAATTTACAATCAAAACCAATCACATCACCGCGTTCTAAGGTCAATATAGAAAATACAAATGAAGTAGACATGAGAGAACGTCGCACATCTAATCAAAGTCAAATTAGTGATATTTTTACCACATCAACCATTGGACCAAATTTTCATGATTTACTTAAACATGATGTAAATAATGTTTTTTTTTTCTTTCGATAAAACCCGAAATAAAAAACTATATTTTCAATCTATATTTTTTTTAGACAACTGATTCACAACAAGTACCAGAAATAAATTTAAGAAATCTTGTTTTTGCTAATCGTTTAAGTCAACAAGCTGTTAAATTAGGAAAAGATATTCGATCAGATCGTGATATAATCGAAGAAGAACTTATTAAACCAACAAAATTAAAATCAAATATATCATCAACAATAAATGCATCAATCGATTCAATTTCAGAAGATTTTCCATATGAACAAACACATGAACAACCTTCGGTACGACAATTAATTAAATATAAACAACAGATTCATGATGAAAATGAACGTCGTCAACATCGAGAAAAACTTGCCGAAATAGCTAGACAAGCACGTGATAAAGAACAAATCTTACAATCAGATATATCTATAAAATCAAACGAACTTCAACAACAACAATCATATGATGATCATAGATTATCACATGATATATCAGAAAAAAGTGATATTAAATTAATTCATAAATCATTTATTAAATCACAAGAAGAAGAAGAATTATTGAATGATGGAAATATATTTCAACCGAGAAGAGAAAGAAATAGAGAAAGATATCGAAATAGATTATCAACACTACGTACAAATGCACCTTATACACTTAATCAATATAAGGGAAATTCTAGTTTACCAATGGAACGAAGAGATATTAATTCGATGTCTTTGATAACGTCTGATGGTGTATGTAAAGTATGTGGAAGTATACTTCATAATAATGAAAATCTATCAAAAATTAATTCTCAACAAGTTTCAAGTAAGTTTATTTCTTTATCTTTTTCAAATTTTATACAATCTTAATCATATTCATATTTATTATAGCTATGCCAACAACACATCCATTCGAACGTCAATCAACAACACAATCAGTAGAATCAAGTGTTGGTGTTGTAGATGATTGGTTCGAATCAACACCAGATGTATCCGCTTCACAACAAAAGTTGTTATGGTCACTAGATGATATAACACCACTACCAACCGATATAAATCCATTGCAAACAATTAAAGATAATAATAATAATAATAATAATAATACGGATACTGTAAGACATCGTCCACCAACAACACCATTAATCAATAGTGACTATAAAACAAAGACTAAACAGATAAAAACACCACGTATGTCTGAATCTGATATTTTTGTACAAACACCTGAATCAAATGATTGTCATTCATCATCACCAATAAAAAATAAACATCAACATGATACTGCTGAGGTTACTCGTCGTCGATTATCTAATACTATGACAAATTCATCACCTTTACGACAAGTTTTTGATTCAACTTTAACAACAACAACAACATATATGCCAACAACTCAACGACGAATGTCAGGTTGGAGTGTATGTGAACATTCGCTTGATGATTCGGATGAAAATTAATATTTCATAAATGTAATTCTATCCATTTTCAGAAATATATCATAGTACTTGTAGACACAAAAAAATAATAATAATAATAAACATAGCCAAAAAATATCTGTCTATACACATACACAAGTTTCATTCGAATCTACCAAGAAATTAAAAAAAAAAGAAAAGAAAGACAAGAAAAGACGCAAGGGGAAAAAAATAATAGTAAATATCTGACGAAAGAGAGAACAATATGCATAACAAACTTATTATGAAGTCAAACACACGCACAGACAGAAAATATTTGAGAATGACTAATACATGCATGATATAATCAAAAAATGAAACAAGAAGCAATTTATTTTGTTCATGTTAGTTGAACCATTCGAGATGTACTTTAGAAGAAAAAAGATAAAATTGAAATTTAAAAATTGAAATAAAACTTACGCTTGTTTAGCAAAATGATTTCGAAGATTTTGAGGTAATTGAAGTACTGGTGATTTAGCTTGAAATGTTAATATTGATGAAGATTCTAAATAAATAATAAATGATTTATTTATTTAGTTTTTTTTGTTTTCTTCATACAAAAAAAAAAATCGTACCAGAACTTTCTGTATTTTGATCAAATATTTTTATATTTGAATCATCTGTTGGTGATAATTGTTTATCAATATTTGGTGATTTTCTTTTTAATACAAATCGATTTTTTTTTGTTGGTGTTATAAATTTATCAATTGAATTTTGACTAGTTGATTGTGATAAAGACTCATCATCATCATCATCAACATTATTCATATTTGATCCTTTAAATTTTTTATTAACATTATTTGGTGAAAGTTTTTCTTTATTTGATGAAATATTTTGATTTTCATTAATTGCATCAAATACACTTGTTTTAGTTACAGTAGATGATGAAAAAAATCGACTACATGTATCATTATCATATTGATTAAATAGAAGTGGTCGTTTAACAACTTCAATACTTTGAATTATCGATGTATGATATTCAGTAGATGAAGAAGTTTTTGTTGTAATATCAGGTTTCTTTTCATTTGATATTGGTAAATACATATTAAGAATAGCTGATGATGTTAATGCATCAGATGTTGAAATAGATATTGAATCTGTTTGTGAACGAATTTTTCTTGGTGGTGATGGTGTTGAAAGTATTTTTTGATTGATTGGTGTTGATGATAATGAAAAAGGTTTAGAACGAACAACGTATTCTTTACTCCAAATTGATTTAAGATGTGCTGAAGTATATGATGATGATGATCCAGGTGAACGATACTAATAGAAAGAAAATTTTTTTTTTTTTTGAAAAAATAACTAAAATCATGATTTACTTTCCATTGATTTGGATCAAAATTATCAACGATACATTTTGTTTTTACATTTAAATTGCCAATTGCATGTTGAAATGCAAGTGGTGTATGATCAATTCTAAATTAATAAAGATATTTACGAAAAATTTAAGTTTTTTAATTGTTAAGATGCTTAGCAATTCGAAATTTGAGCAATATTAGTTTTTTTTTTGTTATGGTTGAATATAATTTATTGATTTACCTGTGAAAAACTCATTTTATATTTAGAAAAACTATAACACATGATTCTTTCACTGTTGAAAAAAAAAACAATTTTTTTCGATATGATAATCAAACACCATAAATGTAGATTTCTATGCAAAGATATTGAGTGTTAGAACTTCATTTTCACACGAAATAAACATCATATTTCAAACCAGCAGGCGACTCTGCATTATATAGTATATTCAATACTTGAAATAAATTGTCATCAGATTTTGACCTTAGCGAAGAAGTACAAGTCAGACGATTCAAACAAACAGAGAGAGAGTAAGAACAAAAATTTGTTTTAAATATTGAGTAGACCAGTGATTTATCTACTGGCTGGGCGCCGCCCACCCAAAATTTTGATTCGCCCACTCGAAAATATACAGCAGTCATTCGTCTACTATGTGGGTCGAGCGGGTGCTGCCCACTCGAAATTTCGACTCGCCCCCTCGGGAAACGAAACTTAGATAAAACACTGGAGTCGACTTTCTATTTATCTAGTCCTATAGCAAGTAAAATTAAAACAACATTTAAAAAAAATTTGCTCAAATTTATAATTGTCCGCATCTTACTAACATACTGTCCAGCATATTTTAATTGATCATGATCAATATCATCTGGTAATGGATTAAGTGGTACTTGTTTTCTTTGTATAGGATCATAGACAATTTGATAAAGAAATGCTAGATGTGCACGTTTAAAACCTATGATATACTCATCAGTTACACGAAGATTTAATTTGCCAAGATTTTGTGGTAATTGTTTAAGAATCTATTATCAACAAACAAAAAACAAAAGAATAATATTTTTTTTTAAAAAAAAAAAGGTACCATGTCAAAATTACCAATTCAATATTTGTTACTTGAGTTCTACTCATAATTTTTTTTGCTTTTACTAAACCAATTCCACTTATATTTTCAAGATAATCACATCCCGATAGAATACACATCCAACGAAAACGTTCAAAACTATCAAGACCAAATTCTTTTTTCAAATCAAATTTTGTTCTTTCAAATAATTCACCATTTCCTTGCTCATCAAGTTTAAATAAAATCTAAACTCATAAAAAATATAAAATCTATTTATTGTTTTTTGTTTTTGATTACTAACATGATGACAACCGAAAAGAACAAGATCTGAATCTTCTGTTATAACATAATCAGCTATTTTTGCTCTATTTAAATATGCTAATTGAGCATCCGCTTCATATGGTGCAACAATAACATCGATGCCCATAGTTCGAAGAGTCTAAAACAAATAAATAAAACATAACGTTAATATGAAAATAGAAAAAAAAAAACAAATCGAATTTCATACTCGAATAACATTTAAAACCATATCCGGTGTTATTTCAATAGCTTTTTGAAAAAATTGTTCAGCTTCACGTGTTTTACCATTAGCAAGAGCTTTTTGTCCACGTAATCGATTTCTTTCACGTTCACTTCAAACAAAAAAAAAACAACAGACAATGAATTATTTTCAATCAATATCAACATTTTAAACATACTCGCTACGATTAATATTAGTTATTCGTTTTGCTGGTAATGGTGAACCATCAAAAACCATGATAGGTTTTATATTCCATTCAAGTAATCTTTCAACAAATCGTGTAACATATTGAACATATCTAAATAAAAGAAAATCTATACATATTTAATATCATGATTTAAATCGAGATTTACTCACCTATCAGTCGATTCATTTTGTGCTAATTTTCCAGCACATGCATAAGCACCTCGATGAAGTAAAAAACTTGTATCAACAGCACATGTTGTTCCTTGAAATCCAGCATTTTTTATATTTACACGATGTATAGCTGATTTAAGCAAAGGATGAAGACCTTCAATTCCCATTGAGATTTTTCTTTTTTTTTTTTTTTTAATTCGACTCTGGCTTATCTCAAAATAGAACAACAACGATCTAGAATATATAAAATCAAATTAAAACGATAAAATTCTGAAAGATACAAATCCTAGTATATTGAATACATTGTATAAACGATAGATTTAGAAAGAAAAAAGATAAAGAACGGAAATACACATGTTTATAAGGGAAAATAACGAATCGAAATAAGAAAAACATAAGTCATTGTGTAACAGGCCGTATTCGTTATAGAATCATTCTTTCTATGTCATAGATAAACAAAACTATTGAATCACATTTGTTTAGCATATTGATTAGTTTAAGAAATAGATAATTAAGAAAACAATAAATTTATATCAATAAAAAAAAACTTTATCACAATGAATCAGATGAAAGAAATATGTTAAAAGTTTATCAACAACAGTGAATATCAGTGCTAATATATAATTTTCAAATGAAATAATCAATACTATTATTTACTTTTCAGAAAAAACAAATATATTTGTTGATATATCATATACTTTTATTTTATAAAGATTTATATTATTCATGATTTAGTAGAAACTTAAATCTAAGAATATTTAAGATTCATCAAATTTCATTTCAATTGAAAATGTAAAAATAAACATGCAAAACAAGAAAAACTAAATGAATACAATCAATGTTCTTGCAACGATGACACATGCATTATTAAATAGTATAGTTCAATGTTCTTTCAAAATACATAGTTATAGTTATAAGATTCGTTGATTTCATAATTAATATTTCGAATTGTAATCAGTACAATTTTCTGCAATATCTTTTAATAGTATTTTCAATCAAATAGATTGATTAAATCTTTTATTACAAATAATTTTACAGATAATCATGATTGTTAAAACAATCATCATTTTTATTGATATATAATTCTATATTAAATATTTTTTGTTAAGATTATGAGAAGATTCTGTTCTTTTTCTTCATCTTCTGCATTATATTTTTTCAATCTCATTCAATATATCAGTCAATCACATAAAAAAAAGAAAATAATATACAAATACAGAAAACAAAAAGCAAAAAAAAAACAATATTAAACAGAAGCAAAAGCCGCATCTGCGTAGAAAAAAAAACAAACCAAAACTCAATCGCAATTTGTTTAATTAACGAATAAATAACGATGTCTCATTTGTTTTATAAAAAAACAGAAAAGAAAAACAAAAGCTTATTAGTTTTTTTTTCTTGTAATACACACACACACACACACTGATATTATTTACAAATAACATCAAATCACATAAGATCAGACTTTTGTTTCGGGTCCCGTATTTAAATGAGTAAATGAATCTCTGAGTTTAGTCATTGATCGAGTTAGTATTGAACCATATGCTTTTGTATACCATTCATGAGAACGTCCCATTAAATCAACACGACTTAAATGTGTTACTTTGGATTTTCCACAACCTAAATTAATGTAAAAAAAAAAAAAACTTTCTACGCCTATAATAAATAAAAAACTATCATTCTTACCAACAGATTGTATTAAATATCGAGAAGCTAATGTAACAGCACGAACTAAACAAAACATAATATGAAAATTGTTCATTTTTCTTTTAAATA